TATAATTGAAAAGTTCTAGGTGCTTCATAATTGACCTTTTGATACAAAATGACCTATTCAATTTGCAACTTGTGGTTCTTGGTGTTGAAGTCCATAGGACAAACTAGGAAGTCTTCAAACCTTGAGCTCAATTCCATGAGGGATTATTTGGCTTTTGAATCGTGTTCTCCTTGTCTAAGAGGTAGCAGCAGCAACAATGCCCACCTTCTGGGCAGCTTCTTTCTTGGCATGATGAGCCTGCAGAACTGCCACAGCTTCCTCCACCTTTGAACGCAGAGACTCAGGGGACTCAAGCATGTGCAGCAGCTCCGAGTTATCGATCTCCAGCAGCATGCCTGTGATCTTGCCAGCCAGGTTCGAATGCATTGTTTGGATGAGTGGGAACAAACGTTCTCCTAGCATCTGCTTCTGCTCCTGGGGGGGTGCTGCAGCCAGCATAGAGGCAGTCAGGGGCTCCTGGCCCTGCACGTGGACAGCAGGCTGCGGTGCCTGCAGAGGCTGTATGGCAGGGTGTGGACTGCGGACACTAGAGGCACACTTGTATGGTGCCACTGCCCGAGGAGCAGTAGCAGCAACTGCAGCCCGAGGTGTGAGGTTTGGAACGGCTGTGGGACACCTCCAGACTGGCAGCTGTCAGTCAGCCCTTGCTGGGCGGCACCAGCCCCACCAAAGTCCATAGCCAAGTGGTCCGGGCACTCAGACCCGACTCTCTGAGTGGTAATAGGGAGGCCACGAGAGGCTGGAGCATTACCAGTTGGAGCCAGATGGCAAAGAGCTGGACAAGGCCCAGACTGGCGTATAGCACTTGGCATTCCTTGGAAGCCCTGAGGTCTCCCACCTTGCTGCCAACATGGATTAGGCCTCATCTGTGCCAACAGGTTAGGCATGTAATACGGAGGTCTTCCCTGAGCCTGTGGAACTGCCGGCACGAAGTAGCCAGCAGCTGCAGGCTGGAACTGGTTTAAGATGGCATTGGCAGGGAGCGCTCTCATTCCAGCCACTCGCTGCATGTACTGATTGGTTAAGTGAGCCTTTCTCTCCTCCTTCCTTTGGGCTAGGGCAACATACAGTGGCTTGGAACCCACGATGCGCCCATTCATTTCAGTGACTGCTTTGGTTGCCTCCTCAGGAGATGAGAAACAGACAAAACCAAATCCTTTGCTTCTTCCATCCTCCAGCATTACCTTAGCACTGGTGATTGACCCAAATGGAGAAAATTCTTTTCTTAATTTCTCATCATCAATGGTGTCATCCAAGTTCTTAATGTAGAGGTTCACTCCCTGGTATCGACTAATTCTCTCCTGTTTCAGCTGCTCAAATTTCCGTTTTAATTCAGCCTGCCATTCTACTTTCTTCTGTGCACGGCCTACAAATATGACTTTACCACTGATTTCGTTCCCATTCATCTCTTCCACAGCCTTATTGGCATCCTCGTGTTTTTCGTAACTCACAAAGCCAAAGCCTTCGGATTTCCCACTGGGATCTCTCATCACCTTGACACTTAGGGTCTTACCAAACTGGCTGAATAGCTCCTTCAGACTCTCATCATCTACTTCTTCTCCGAAGTTCTTGATATAAACATTGGTGAATTCTTTGGCTTTGGCTCCAAGCTCAGCCTCCCGCTCTTTGCGAGACTTGAATCTGCCTACAAAC